CAGTCTGGGGTTGCCACTTGTTTCTTAGCAGTTAACAATGCTCCTGGTGTTGAACAGCAAATCCTAGTCAAAGAAAAGACCATCCTAAAACACTTTGTCCATACTAGTGCTGCCTGAAAGAAACAACAATATTTACACTGGTGGTTTATATGTAACCAAGATGGAGAGTTACTGAAGATTTTCAGAGCAGTTGCTAGCTCTGCTTTTGAGCCATTATTGTGTTTTGATATTTGACCTGTGCTTTGTAGGAACTTACTGCACATCAGGAATCCACAAAGGTGTGTGAAAAATTGCCAGCATCTTTGTTCTTGCACCCATTTCTTCCTAATTGAGGTCTTGTGATTCGTTGTCACATTTCACAAATCTGTGTACACATTTGATACAGCAAACCACAACTTCTCTGGTCATTGTTTAAAGGTGTAAGTAAAAACAACCAATGCCCCTCCTCCATCACAAATGGAAAAAAAAGAGGGGGGCAAAGAAACTGCCCCTCCTTTTCTTGGAATGCTAATATGCTAATGGCATTCTGACAGGATGTTGCCCTGTGTAAAAGAGACACAAAAACTCATCTTTCCACCTTTTTCATCTTTTTTTCCATCTTTTTCTTTTTTTTTTCATCTTTTTCTTCCAGAAAAATCTGAGGTGGTAGCTAAGGATTTTAGTGAAAAAATAAAAGCAGAGAAAACCTTATAATTACTGAGTGTCTTCTTTGAAAAGCATTAGTATCACTGTAGAATTATTTATCATTGTAATTGTACTGAGGGAAGCACCTTGTCCATTCTCATCAGTGTAACAACGTCCCTTCTGTTCAGCTCTTGTGGCTTTCTGTAGACTTCAATGTTCCACTTCTCTAGTGTTGGATAGGATATGCAGTGATAAAGATAACCTGGTTTCATGCAAGTAATTTTAATCTTATAAATGGATCAGGTGATGACAGCCTGCATCAAAGTAAAAGCACACTTTTTGATCCACCTGTGAGAAACTGCAGAGGGGATGAACCCTCTTTCTCCTTTACCTCATAGGTTCTTGGGGAGCACATGGAAAACAACTTGGCATTTTTAGAGGGTGTGATTTGCTTTTTGATTCTTTATACCTTGGCATGTGTATTCTTGGCATTTTTATATAGTTTATTTGAGCAAAGCTATTAATTAGGAGCAGTGCACCTTTGATACAGAGATAATGTTTGGGACACTCTGGGCAGATTGGATGAAGTTCTTCCATGTTTGAAAGCATATACTAATTTTTTTTTTTTTATGGACAATATGCATAAAAGTTTGAGTAGTTGGAGAATTCATGGGAGAATGAGAAGGAGTCACTGTGGCTGAATCAAGTAATATTTGCTCAAGAAGCCTGCAGCTGAGCTCATGTCCAGAATTTGGGGATGGCTGAGAAACAGATATTTTTGCTTCTGATTAAGTAGTATTTGCCACTGCAAAGCATAAAAAGAATTTTCACTAGCCTGCCTCATTTGAGTTGGAAAATGAAATGTGGTGATCAGTTCCGTATGATACACAGTCCCTCAGACAGCATTAGGAAAGGGGAGGGAATGACCAAGACGATCGGAGACGCAAACAGGAGTGAGGGTCTGTCAGCTTAATGGCTACATTATTGCAACAGTAAAACTTTCTTATTCTGTTTACTGTTGTCTTTTCCTCTTTTCATGCATAAAAAGAAATAAATTGTCAAAATTACCTAATTCCCAGTGGCCCAAAGTATTATAAATAGAAAATGTTTCCAGGTGTGCTGTTCATTGCTACAAGAGTTCCTTGTTTGCCTTTTCTTGTCTTTTATCATAAAATAATGTTATACAAAGGGAAGATACAAATCTCTAGATTTCTTTCTCTGTCCATTTGATCTTCTGTTTTGTTTCCTCATATGTCTGTTGTCCTTTTTGAAGGATGATGTAGGTTCAGATAGCTTGAAAGGTGGAAAAAACATAAAACTGCAAAACATGAGACCACAGAAAAACCTGGCAGGAGGTTGTTCTTAGGGACAGCGTTATGGTGGCACATGTCCTTTCTGTTTTCCCCAGCATAAGCAACTATTGCATTTGGAATCTTCAAGTCCTTGTTTAAAAATTGATCACATGTAAATTTCTGTATAGTAATGGCATATGTAGTAATCGTGCTCAATGAAATGAATTTTGGTATCCAGATGTGAAAGTCCCTGCATACACAGGTCTTGGAACTACTTAGAATTCAGTGGGAGCTTATATAAAGAGCAGCAATTTATTTGCACACTGTCAGTTGAAAAATGGGGACACAGTTTTGCTGTTTTTCAGGTCAGCTCACTGCTGCATAAATGTCTTGAAAACATTTGAAAATAAACCAGTTTGAATAGAGTAAAATAACATTTGTTTAATGCTTTCTTTTAAGATCAGTTTGGTTTTAAAAACATATCTGAATGCTCTTAAGCATGCTCACATACTGAATTTTTGTATGTAGTGTTATTTGGGTAACCCTACTAAAAGAAGCCGATGGCCATTTTTGCAAAAGGGAGGGTGGTAAGTGAACTGAAGTATTGAAACTTTTTTCTTGGTTTTTACTGATCAAATATAAAATCGGCTGATCAAAACATGGACTTAAATGATAAAGTAATTCATATCTGCAGCACTTAATTTTCAAAATTTTAGCCCAAGCTATTAACCAATTGCTTCTAAGTAGACAACCTTATTAATTTGGAAAATGTGGGAATGCTGCAACTTTCTATTCATTTATTTGTGAATTGGTTAAGCTATATTTTCTAAGAATATATTCATATAGCTTCTGTTGGTGTCACAGTTTTGTTTTGAAAGTGTTACAGGGGGCATCATGACAAGCCAAACCCTAGGCTGTTTTAGCTGATCCCTCTTTTGTCAGGCTAGGGTTGAAAAATGGGAACTAGAAAAACAGCAACTGAGTTACTCAACCATGCTGAACACGGTGCTGTTGCATAGAAAGCATTGCATTGTCAGTGAGCAGACTCCAGCACACCTGACTGTTTCTCTTGGCTGAGCCCTCCAGAGCTCTAATGGGTATGTGAAAAGACGGGTTTTTAGAAAGCATTTGCCACCCCTCCCCCTTTCCCCTGCTCTCAGATGGTGTCACATAAACACACAGTTCTAAGTGGCCTCCTTCATCTTCTGGGAAGTGGCTGTTTAGAACTATAGTAACTGATGGTGTATATTTTGATGTAGACAATAATTTCGCTGTCTATCCAGAGAGACACATAATTTTGTGAATTCTGCTTTAGGATAAAATGTACTTACTGATGTAAATGTAGCACAACTTTCTTGGATTCTTAGAGTTTTGCTTGTCTGATGCCAAAAAACTTAAACCTTCTGGCCATGATCTAGCTGCCTTGTTCAGCTGGATTTACGCGTATGATATGTGACTTTGGCACATGGATGAGTGACAGCAGAAGTTATGGGTTTCTCCTGCTAAGGAGATAGTCTCTGCAACTTCAATATGTGACTCCCCATCCTTTTAATCCAAGAATGCTTCTCTTTCAGGTCACTAGAAAAATGTTTTTTTTTCATCTTATTATATGGTAAAATTGGCTGGCAGTGGTCTTTATTTGAAAAAGGTATTAATCTCCTTTTTCTATTAGCATGAACTGCATTAATTTTTTAAAAAGAGTAATGAAATATTTGTTTAGCTTTGGTCTCCTTCTGAAGAATTCCTGCACTACAGATAGAACCCTAGCTGAATGAGACACCACCTTCTTTGCCCATGTTGCTTCTTTGGTGAGATGCAATTACAGTAATGCTGCTCATTAGGACTGTGCATCCTGTGGGCTGTGGACTGTCTGAAATTAGTTTCACCAGTGCAGTATGATGAGCTGTAGTAGTACCTCATTGTCCCTATCCCACCCCTGTTAATGTGTTCAATGTCTCTCATTGTTTATTTTTTTTTTTCCTTGAGTTTCCCTTTTGCCAGTTTGGGCAGTGGGTCCAGACCAGTGTGCAACAGGTTTGGCTGTGCTCATTCTATATTTTCTGGTATACCTGGATCAAACCACCCC